ACTGGATGACTCGCTACAGAAGTGTACATTTGAGTTAGTTGATTTCATACCCAAAGGCAGGGTTTCAGTTACCTACTCTTTTACCTGGGAAGTGGCTTAATAAAAAGCCACAGTTAGAACAAATTGGCAGAAATTACAAATATCACAGAACTAAAAATAAAGCTCATATTAAAATATAAAAAAAGACTAGAATAGCCCTCCACCAAGCAGCAAATTTTGCCCCAAATTGTGACTTACACATACAGCTAAAACTCGCTCATGATCTGGATCATTACCAAATTTAAATAATTTCTTCCTTTCCATAAGGCTCAACTCTGTTAAAAATTCATCGTTTAAATATGTTCAGAAGTTTTTAATTGATCCTGCTAACAAACCAACAACGTTCCCTTGTGTTTTTGTATTCAGTAAAATACCTCCAGACTTTTTGAGTCCAATGCTGAGGCTGTCAATAGTCAATGCTGCCATCCTCTGGTTTAGTGGAGAGCTGCTTGTTGAAAATATCCCTTTCCCACAATGTTAGAGAAACTTTAAAAAAAATCCTGTCTCCAGATTAAGATCTAGTTCATCACTAAAATATTATTAGATTGTTCCTTGGGACGAGGGACACCTCTGATAAAAATGTCATTAAAATTCATGATTTTTAGATTTTTTCTGTACTCAGTAACATAACATCTTTGGCCGAGGTAAAAATGCAGTTAAATTAAAATAGTATCCCATTGATCCTGTTTATACAGTTTAAATGTAAAAAAAAAAAAAAAACTGTTGATTTTGGAATTGAAATGGCATTGATCATATTGTAATGTAGTTTTTTCATAGACTCATACAATTTCACACAGAACAAGATATCATGGTCTGTGTGTATATCAGGCTGCATAAAAAAGTACTCAATATTGTAACTGTAAAATCAACTAAAAGATCAGGTGAGTAAATTGTTTGGGAAAGCTAGACGACCATTTATTACAACATTACACTCAGAAAAAATCCTCAATTAGTACATTGTTATTTTGTACTAATTGAACCACAGGGTTAAAAAAGTGACTCTATATAACATTTTTGTTATTTATGTTATTAAGTTTTGTTGTGTTTCTAGGCACTCAAGTTACAGAGGAGGTCCTCGTCACCAAAGCAATAAAGATCTGTAGGTCACAGTGTTCTCTTCCAATTTATGCTGATGTCAAATATTATGACGTGTGTGTCTGGGTGCAAGCACAGATGTGTGTGAAGTATAACCCAGTCAGACAAGCTCATAACAGTTTCTGTCATTTTGCTTAACACCATTAAGCAATAAAAAGTGATTGCTGTTAGTTTGGTACCAGAAAGCATTTTCCACAGTTTATCTTTTCCTCTTGGAGTTCTGGATAGAGCAGATAGACAGACAAAAACATTTTTTTATCTTAAATGCAAAAATGTTTTTATATTTTCTTATAATTTTGATATAATTGTTGTTGTGTGTTTCTCTGTCAGCTAAAGGCATGTTTTACAGTATTTATACTTAATGATTAATCGATTGCTAATTTAATTTGTCTTTTTATGTTTTGATCTTTTTTTTTTTCAACTCAGGCCTGTTCCTTCCATAGATCAGATTCAGAGATTCCGGCTGGATCCAGTCCTCTATATGCAGAAAGAAATTTTGGCAGTGGCCAAAAGACCAGTGGGGAATATATTTGCACGGAAGTGCTATCCAAAAAATAAAAAAATACAATATAACTTTTGAAGAAATATGCTATTTAAGGAGAGGTTTGAAATTGACTTGTATTTTTACAATTGCAATGAAACCCTTAATACTATTTTTGCAAGAAATGTACACAGTTAACGGTCACTCGAACATTTTTATAGCAGCTGTAAAAAGGAAAACCAAAGATTTAATCAGCAATGATACCACTGAGTATGTTTTCTTTCTTGCAAAGTGTCTTTATAGTGCTACAAAGAAATGAAACATTTATAAATTATTTCACAGCAGCCACTGCTGCTACTGATCTACATAATAAGATGACCTCTTTAAGAGAACCTGCGTTTCTTGCCAAACAAATTGACTACTTCTCTTTTTGAAATTACTGATCAGTACTTACAACCTCTTTAAAGAGGCTACACTTTCCATGTATCATTAGGGATCTTATACTCGAGCAGATCACCAGTTGCTGCTGCAGTGGCACTTCAAAGGCCCTCATTTCTGCAACAGAGTTAACTGGTTTAGTTATGCTGATAGTATACAAGCTGCCTAACGTTTCTTCTAGGGAAACATTTTCTTTTTTTTTAAATAGAGGAACCATTCCAAAGGCATTTCTTTTTTCGTATTTCTTCCCCTTTTTCTTTTTCCCATTTTGCTTATAATATATTTTTTTGCTGTTGAAGTCATTACATTTCCACCCTCAACTATTTGGGGTTATCCAGAAAATGTTATTTATAATAAAGCTGTATTTTCAAAGAATGATATAAAAGCATTTTGATGTGAATTGCAAGGAAAAAGGGTGGAAGAAAGATCAACCATAACAATTGTGTGTGGTGGCTTTTTCAAATTCAGAAACATGGTTTTAGCTAAACATGACTTTTCTACTGGTCCACAGAATGAATAGAAAACCACAATCCTCCATAAAGTTGACAACCTTAAAAAAATCTGTATTTTGTTTTTTTAAGACGAAGATAGCTGACAGCTTACACGACAAAATAGATAAAGTTAGGGCCGCTAATAAAGAAACCTGGGCCTCTTTAGTGCTCCAGAAAAGCCTAATCCAGCCCATGACACACTGCATCAATGCACTTATTCATGCAAAATGAGCTCCAACCAAATATTGGCTGTCTATAGTGTTTTTCCTTTTTATAAAAATAACATTTCTATTATAGTTTATTTTACTGATTGATCTAAATGTGTCTTTTATATTGTAAATACTAAAAAAATTGGGGTTTGCTTAAATCAAGAAAATGACTGACAGAAATGACACATAAGAGCTTAATGTTTACAGTTCAATAGTTTTTATAGTTCAGCCCAGATTGTATACCATTTTCTTTTCCCTACTGCATTTATGTAACTATTCATTCCCTCTTATTTATGGCCAATTTAAAGAAGGCTCAGTAACCAGATGTTATGCTTATTTACAGTCATTTAGAACAGATTGCTTTTCCTTGAGCTCATTATAAGGTTTCATTACTATGTATTACCAAAATAACAATAACACCATTGCTATAATGGCCTCATAAAAACAGACAGGGAACTTGTCTCTAAAACCTTATTTGAATATATGTGAAATTTTAAATCAGATCATGGAAAAGTCTAACATTGCTTTATGTATACTTAATCATCCAAAGCTATGATTGGACCACTAATACAAGTTGGATGACTATGAGGAGCGGTGGGAATGATAAAAGCCATGCCTGCTCAACCACAGGGAATCTCTGAGACCATAACTTCAACAATTGGAAAGTCTTTAATTAACCTTGTGATATTTGGACCTGGTTTATAAAGAATTTTATTTTTCTATTGGAAAACATTTATTATAAAAAAAGTAAAAATTTGGAGTGATAGTTGTTAAATGATAAAACATCATAGGTGTGAAACATTTAAAAGAAGTAATGGCTATCTTAAAAATTATGTAGGGGAAGGTTAGGATAATTGATAAAAAGAAATTGGACCGTACTTCATCATCTTACAGTGGAGAAATTCGCATCAGCGTTCAACCCATCCCCTTGGGGAACAGTGGGCTGCCATTGTGTGGTGCCCGGAGAGCAGTGTGGGTTTAAGGTTTATCCTCAGGGACTCAGAGTGGCAGGCCGTGGGAGTGGGACCTGAACTCAGAACCTCCAGCACCCAAGGGCAATGCTCTAACCATTAGGCCACCACTCCCGCCTTTAGTATTAATTACATATTAGTTGGTATTACAATTAAATTTTGCTGGTTTACCATTGATGCTAAGCAGACCACATAAAATGTATAATTCTACCCATTCATCAATGAAGCTGCAGCCTATCTCCAGTAATTTATGGGCGAGAGGCGGGGGTACACCCTGGAGAGGTCGCCAGTCCATCACTGGGCAACGAGAGACACACAATGATATACTCACACATTCACTTCTCGTGATAATTTAAAGACGCAAATTAACCTACCAGTCATGTTTTTGGACTCTGGAAGGAGGCCGGAGTACCTGTAGAGAACCCAAGCATGCAAGGGGAGAACATGCATACTCCATACAGAAAGACCCGGGGACTCAGAATTGAACCTGAAAACTTTCTTGCTGTAAGGCAACAGAGCTACAAACTGTGGCACAAATATTAAGATTTTTAATTCTAGGATGGTATTTATCTTTTTTATATAGTTGTTTTCTTTTACCCAAATAAACAAACAATACAAAACAGTGCTTGACAGAATTTTTCTGACATGCACTTACCGGTAATAATTGACGATAGTCCAGCTCAGAATGATTATCTCCTCAATGATTGTCCATTAGAGTCTGTTTTGCTTTCCACTCAAGTTTCTCAAGTGGCTTTTTCCTTTTTAAAATGGAGACTTATCTCACTGATGCTCAGGTGTAATTAGTCATTTGATATATCAATGATTTTCATAAAGCCATAGGAGGTTCAGCATCCACTCAGCTCATTATAATGGCCTTCCTTGCTAACATTAGGTGTCCATGTTCCCATTGTATCAAAGACGGATGAATATATGCCAACAAATGTCCTTGTATTTTTAAATGTAGAAGAACTGTAATGGTCACCTTAAGGGTTCTCTAGAAAATAATAAACTTGGATTAGTCGCAAAAGGATTAGGGGCAAACACCGAGTCAGAGCTCAACCTATTTTTTTCTTTATCTTCAATCATCAATTAAGTAATTATAATATTTTAGTGGGTGCAGCAGAAGTCAGGCATTAAAGTAAAATGAATAGCTAGGAGTGTTTATATTTCTTTATCCAGGTAAAATGTTCATAGTTTGTATTTCATTTAACTTGAAACATACAGAAGAAAAAACAAATACAAAAAGATACTGCACATTTATTAGAGTAAAGAGGAATTTATTTATTTTTTCTTATAAAAAAATTACAACATATTTATACATGACAACTGATGAAGCAAAATCAATCCTTAGGTTAACACTGACATAATCTCTGTGTATGATTGTTGGCACATGTTCTCTAAACAGCAGCAGAGGAATCATTAACCGTTTTATATTATTAAAGAAAATGTGCCTTTTGAATTGTAAGAAATTTTTTTGCCATTTTGTCAAATAAATGATTTGATTAATAATTTGTTTCTGCAAAAAGAAAAACAGAGAAAGGTAGCATTTTTTAGCAAAACCTCAGGCTTTTCCCTTCCACAGATCCGATTCTGGCTGGATCCAGTCCTCTCCCATAATACTCTGCAGGCGGAAATTCTGGAAATACTCCAGGCGATGGCTGAGAGACAGAGATAAAAAGAAAGTTAAAAACCCACATAAACTCAAAAGTTTGGAAGTCATTTCTTATCTGTTGTATCATTATTGATTTAGTAGATATTTAGAAAATTAACAGCTGCTAGGAAACAGTTACACAACCGTTCTACAATCACTTACTATGTAAAATAGAATCCAAAGTCTGAAAAGTAGAAGATAACATTGAGGACATTATCGAAATTCTTTCTATGTTAACTTTATGGTGCAGTAAAGGGGATAAATATTAGACAATTTAACTGAACGCATGTATAGAGGCTGTTGTACCTCATTTAGTTATATTGTTCAGATCAAGAGCAGCCACACATATGACATATGGACTTGCCCCTCTCATCAAGCAATCTAAGTGTGAAACAAAAAATCCCCAAGATTAAGATTACCGGTAGGACATACAATCTGTCTACACAGCAAACCTTCTGTGTGAATTATGATTCTAGCAACCCCAGGATTGCTGATGTAGCAATGTTTAAAATGATTTATGTTATGAGTTTGTTTGTCATACTAGTTTTGGAGTTTGGATGATTTTTTTTAAATAATACTTTTACAAGCTGGAAATATTCAATAACATACACATTGAATACATTATTTTTAAAGAAATGTGTGTGCAGATTAGTTTCCTGGTATTTTTAATCCACATTATACATACTGTACATATAAATGTAGTTAAATATTCTTTCTTTGGATGCCCTGTGGTCATATTTTGTAGTATTCCTCAAGCTTCTGGTTTTAATTGATTGAACAATATATCAATGTTCTAGCAGATTCTGTTATTTCATTCAATTGCTTGGTTTCCTGATGGGTTTTACAGTCCACAAAATTTCTACAGGTATTTGTGTTGAGGTCAGGCTTAGTAGAGGCCACAAAAAGTTGGTGTATTCTATCCAGGTTTTAATTTGTAATAGAGATCATTACTTATGTTTCAAGTGGTTACTAAATGACAATATGAAGACAGTTACCATGTATAGAGATAATCCATCAACTGCCTATCATTATTTGAAACATTGGGGAACACCAGTGTCCTTTTTTTAAAGCTCAGAATGGAATTTTAGGGACAACGATTCATTTTAAAAATCAACACCTTTAGGATGCGAAGCTAATCGCACATCCAAAGTATCTTCTAGAAAATTGATTTTAAGGTCAAAAAAGGACAAAAAGTGTTGCCACAATCACGAGTTAACTTTTCTAAATGCAATAGGTGTCAAACATTCATTTATAACTTTGCTGCAGGGTTGTCATACTGACCTATAAACTTCCCAATTTTCACATTTTGTTTAACCTTATAGTTAAGTGTTTCAGCAGCAATATTAAACACAATTCAAAGTTAGATCCATACCATGAAATTAAACAATAACTTTAACAAATCTGCAAAACTATTGGGAGTTGTTGAGTTGTAACTTCCTAAGAGCCATTTAATCCAAGATTAAGGAGAGCATTTTATATACAAGTATATATAAAACATTACTAAAGATAGTTTTATTATTTATATAGTTTTCAGTAGTTGTATGACTACTTCACCTTAAAAAAAGTATAAGTCAATCATTGAAAATCTTAAGATACTATGAGATTCCCATGATGACTGTATATAAACTTTTTACTTGATATGCAAGGATTTGTAGGAAACCAAATTCATTAGACAGCCTACTTACAAATTTGGCTGTTGGCCTTCCATGATGTCGGCTTTAGGGATGGGGTAGAGAGCCTCATATGTACGTGCCTCTCCTGAGCCATGAATAGCATACGAGTTCATCTTGTTGACATTGGGAGGGAAGTATGTCCAGGGGATAACAGCCTCGCCAGTCCATCTGTCCCCAGATATTGTGGTAGTGAATTCAACTGGCAGTTGTTGCTGGTTTAGAAGAAAATTATAATAATTTATTACCCAAGATGCAGGGAAAAATTGGAATAAATAGAAAAAAGAAACAAGTTTCACTTACATAAAAAGCCTGACCAACTCCTGACAGTAGTAGTATTAGATGTTGTCCGTGTCTAAAGTAAAAAAAAAAAACATAAAAAAACGGAAAACTGTTCTGTGACTGTTTATGTGGGATTAAAAAAGTAAAAA